CTGCCCCGGTGCGGCTTCCCAGCCTGGTCCCTCGCCGGGCTGCTCCCGGCTCTGTGCGGTGAGTGCCCTCCCTGCGTCCTGGCTCGTCCCCCTGCACCCCAACCCGGCTGGGGATGTCCCGTGTGTCCCAGCTCATCCCACCCCCACTCCAGCCCACCTCCCCGGGACATCCCCTGTGTCCCAGCTCATCCCATCTGTCCCAGCACATCCCACCTACATCCCGACCCACCTCCCCTGGGACATCCCAGCTGGCCCAGCTGGTCCCCTCCCACCCCAACCCAGTTGGGGACATCCCGTGTGTCCCCAGCTCACCCCCCTGCACCATGACCTGGCTGGGGACATTCTGTGTGTCCCAGTTCAGCCCGTGCATCCCAGCTCATCCCACCTCCCCCCCAACCCAACTGGGGACATGCCCTGTGTCCCAGCTCATCCCACCGCCCCCACCCAATCCACCTCCCCAGCTCACCCCCTGCCTCCCAGCTCATCCCAGCCCATTCCAGGACCACCCACCAACCCCTTCGAGGTGGCGCTGGAAGGGACCTCCTCGGAGGTGGGCTATGGTGGGACGGTGCTGCTGAACTGCTCCACCAGCTGCCGCGACGCCGGGGCGCCCGGGGGGCTGGAGACCTCCCTCAGCAAGGAGTGGGTGGGCCGGGGGCCGGGCTGGCTGAGCATCCGGCTCCGCAACATCACCGAGCCCCTCTCCGACATCATCTGCTACGTCTCCTGCTTCGGGGAAAGGAAGGTGGTGACTTTTACGGTGCTGGCTTACGGTAAGAGGCTGCTCGGGTCCTTCCCGGGGGCATTCCCGGTGGATGGGGACTGGGGATGGGGGATGCGGGAAGGGAGTAGGGATGCACCGGATCTGGGGAGCCCCCACCCCTCGGAGGGGCAGCGGGATGGGGCAAACTGGGACGGATGCTGCAACTGGTCCTGGGGGAGAGAGGAGCTGGGTGCTGGATCCGGCCGCGCTCGGGCAGGATCCCCTTTGGGGTGACCTGCAATGTTGGGTGCCATCTCCCTCCCTGCCACAGAGCTCCCCCAGCCTCACCTGGCCATCAGCAACCCCAACGCCTCCTGCAACGAGACGGTGGCCATCGCGTGCTCCTCGGTGCCCAGCTGGCCCCCGGGGCTGAAGCTGTGGCTCCGCAGCAGCCGCCGGCCCCTGCAGCCCTGGGCAGAGGGGCCCGTGCACCTGGAGCTGACGGCCGGGGAGGATGACGATGGGACCGAGTTCTCCTGCGAAGCGCAGCTCAGCGTGGGCAACCGGACGCTGCGGAAGAGCTCGGCCACGGACATGCTGGGAGTCATGTGTGAGTGGGGCGGCGGGCGCCGGCGAAAAACCCTGGTGCAAAATCCCTCAGCCCTGGTGCAAAACCCTTCTGCTGTGGTACAAAGTCCCTTGACCCTGTGCAAACCCCCTTGACCCCATGCAAAACCCTTCCGCCCCGTGCAAAACCCTTCGGCCCCGTGCAAAACCTTTCTGCCCTGTGCAAAATCCTTTGGCCCTGTGCAAAATTCTTCGGCCCTGTGCAAAACCCTTCTGCCTCGTGCAATGCTCTTTGTCCCTGGCGCAAAACCGCTTGACCCCGTGCAAAGCCCCCTTGGCTCCATGCAAAACCCCTCAGCCCTGGTGCAAGACTTGGGGCCCTGGCTCGTGCTGCAGGACCCCAGGCTGCAGCAGGGACCCTGCTGGCCCCAGCCTGGGGTGGTGGCGATGCCGGGGCTCGTGATGGGGGTCCCAGGTGTCCTGGTGGTCTCAGGGGTCCTGAGGATCTCAGAGCTCCTGGGGGTCCCGGGGGTCCCAAGGGTTCTGGGGATCTCAAGGGTCCTGGGTTCTTGGTGGTCTTGGGGGTCCCAGCGGTTTTGGGGGTCCTGGTGGTCCTGGTGGTCTCAGGGGTCCTGGTGGTCTCAGAGTTATTGGGGTCCTGGGGGGTCCCCGGAGGTCCTGGGAATCTCAGAGGTACTAGGGGTCCTTGGGGTCCTGGGAGTTTCAGGAGTCCTGGGGGTCCTGTGGTCCTGGGGGTCCTGGGGGTCTCAGGGGTTCTGGGGATCTCAAGGGTCCTGAGGTCTTGGTTGTCTCGGGAGTCCCAGAGGTTTTGGGGGTCCCGGTGGTCTCAGGGGTTTTGGTGGTCTCAGAGTTATTGGGGGTCCTGGGGGTCCTGGGGGTCCCGGATGTCCTGGGGGCCTTAGGGGTCCTGGGGGTCTCAGGGGTCCTGGGAGTCTCAGAGGTATTGCAGATCCTTGGGGTCCTGGAAGTTTCAGGGGTCCTGGGGGTCCTGTGGTCCTGGGGGTCCCAGGGGTCCCAGAGGTCCTGGAGGCCTTAGGGGTCCTGGGGGTCTCAGAGGTATTGGGGGTCCTGGGGGTCCTGGGAGTTTCAGGGGTCCTGGGGGTCCTGGGGATCTCAGAGCTCCTGGGGGTCCCAGGGGTTCTGGGGGCCTTAGGCGTCCTGGGGTCTTGGTGGTCTCGGGGGTCCCGGGGTTCTGGGGGTCCCAGGGGGATGGTGGGGGCTCAGTACCACTGACCACCCCTCCCCGTTCTCCGGCAGACCACGACCCCGACGTGGTGGTCCCGGTGCTGGTGGTGGTGCTGGCGGTGGCCGCCCTGCTTACCGGCCTGACGGTCTACAGGATCTACTACCGCAAGAAGAAAATCCGGCAGTACCTGCTGCAGGAGCGGCACAGGCGGCTGGCGCCGCCACGCTCAGGGTAGGAGGGTGCCCCCCTCAGTGATGGGGGGGCTCCACCATAGCCCCCCAAAAGCCGCATTCCCCCCCCGCAGGGAGCCAAACCCCTCCCTGGGGCTGAGGGCCGTATCCAGCCCCCAAGGGCAGCGGTGCTGGGGGGTCGCAGCCCCCCACTGCTGGGTTTGGGGGTGCTGGGGGGGCTCGGTGGCCCCAGGGATGGAGACCCCCCCCCCCCTGTGCCCATCACCCTGGCCTCGGGCTCCCTCTGGGGGGCCCAAAATGGCTCTTAATGGTTGAAGGGTCCTTGAGGGATCGTCCCAGCTCCTCCACGAGCATCTTGTGACGGGAGGGGAGAGGGTTGCACTGGGCTACGTTGGGCTGCACTGGTCTTTACTGGTCTATACTAGGCTGTACTGGGCTATATTGGGCTGCACTGGTCTATACTAGGCTGTACTGCTCTGTACTGCACTATAGTGGGCTATACAGGGCTGTACTGGGCTGTACTGGGTTATATTGGGCTGTACTGAGCTGCACTGGTCTTTACTGGGCTATACTAGGCTGTACTGGGCTATACTGGGCTGTACTGGGTTATATTGGGCTGTACTGAGCTGCACTGGTCTTTACTGGACTATGCTAGGCTGTACTGCTCTGTACTGCTCTGTACTGCACTGTAGTGGGCTGTATTGGGTTATATTGGGCTGTACTGGGCTGTAGTGGTCTACACTAGGCTGTACAGGGCTGCACGGGGCTGTACTGGACTGTACTGGGTTATACTAAGCTGTACTGGGCTGTACTGGGCTGTACTGGGGAGTGTTGGGGTCTTGGCCAGCTCCTTGGGAGCAATTCAATGTCCTTCTGGAGGGAGGAACCTGATTGGGGGTACAGGCAGGGGATTGGGTACAGGCAGGGGACTGGGGGTACAGGCAGGGGATTGGGGGTACAGGCAGGGGATTGGGTACAGGCAGGGGACTGGGGGTACAGGCAGGGGATTGGGGGTACAGGCAGGGGATTGGGTACAGGCAGGGGACTGGGGGTACAGGCAGGGGATTGGGGGGACGGGCAGGGGGGTGGGGGGAGGGGGGGGGGGGGGGGGGGACGGGGGGGGGGGGGGAGGGAGGGGGGTGCGTAGACCCAGCGGGCGGGGAGGCTGGCAGGGCCCCGGGACTCCTCCCTGCTGCCCTCCGTGCCCACCGACTCCCGGTGCCGCCGGGGGGGTTTCCAGGAGGTTGGGCGCGTCTGGGGGGTGT